GAGATCAGGAGCAGGAGGAGCACATGGGAAGTATTTCCATAAGGGACATGTTTACAACATTTCATACAGCATAATGAGAGGCTTGATTGGTGTTAATAATCTGAAAAAATACCAGCAGTGTCATGACAACAACATCTTAAGACCAATGAAAAAGTGAGTTAAAGTAAGGGAGTCTCTTCATTCATTTATTTAACTATTTCTCCTGTTAAAGACAGCTGCGCCCAGACTGACTCACTCAGTCAAATCTCTCTCTGTCTCTTCTCTGGCTTCTCCTTTTCTTACTTGCTTGTACTTAATTGAGGATGACTTTGGGCATTTTTACCTCTACAACATTCTTCTTGAACCCTTAAATGCCCTAAGCTATATTTAGGCATACATGTTTTGAAATTGCACTTTCACAAGAGATATTACGATTACCATGATCACATTTCACCTGTGCCATTTACATGTTTTAGAATTGTTTCATACTCTATTAGTCAGGGTTCTACTGAGAAACTGAACCAATATTATAGATATATCCCTCATATATGTGAAAGTGACTGATTACCAGTAATTAGCTCACGTGATTATAGCGTTTGACTAGTTCATGCCCTGTGTTTTATAAACTGGAGACACAGGAAAGCTGGTTGTGTAGTTTAGTCCCAGTTCTACAGCTTGAGAACCAGGGTAATCAATGGTGTAAGTCCTACTGGTCTAAGGGCAGGAGAAAACCTATACCCTACACAAGCAGGTAGGCAGGAAGCAAAAGGAACACCTTCTCTCTTTCTTCCTCTGCCTCTTTGTTCTGCTTAGACCTTTATTTTAATTTATTGTGACCAAAGATCCAAATACTAATCTCATCTAGAAACAACACCCTCACAGACACACTCAGAAATAATGTTTAATCTGGGCAACAAGTGGACAGTCACACTGACTCATAAAATTATTCATCACAATTACTTCCTTGTTTCATGTTTATTATGTCAAGACTATAAAGATTATATGTTAAATGGTATTAGAAAACTTTGCCTATCAGATGATTCATCACATAGTTTGATCTGTGCAGTCCTTTTAGAAAACGTGACATCTTGCCCTTATTGAATCCAGGTTCTGAAAGCCAGCATCAGAGTGCTACCACTCTGTGATAGCCCCCTGGCTGACCACCTGAGGTAACTTCAGATTTGGGCAGCTGTTCCCTCTCACAGGACGGCCAGGACACAAGTTGGCCAGGGTCACTTACCTTAGCTGGTAGGGACAGGACAGGGGAGAGCTGCCAGGATCACTGCCTCAGGTGGGCCTTCAGGGAGGGTCCTCCCTGTGGTGAAGGAAGTATTTCATTCCCTCCTCATGACACCTCATCCCTAAGGGAACAAGATGAGGTTGATGTGTGTGACAGTCACAGCTCAGGTCAGCCTAGTTCTCCAGAGGATGAATTACTGTGAGAGCCATGAGAACAGCTTCAGGAAGCAGAACTGAGATAGGATTAAGAATGTAGTCACTGGCCTCTCTGATCTAAGGGACAAGGTTGCTATTTATCTGAGGTCCTTATGAAGGCCTTCCATTGGTCTACAGATTATCTCCTTTCTTGCTCCTCCCCTAAGATTTAACTTTCATTTTCACTCTGTGCCTTTAAATCCCCTTTGTGGACATCAGGTCTCTGGTTTGGAGAGTGAATCCTGATCCTCACATAGCTGAAACTCCAGAACAAGTGAATAGGCCTTTCTTCCCTGGAAGAATTGGGGTGAGTTTCATTCTGCTCTCTGAGCTGTGCCTGGGGGGTGCTAGTCTACCCAACACTGTTTTAGACCTTGGGGCAGGGAAATGCAGCCCCTCCCACCTCTGCCACTAGATCCTTGGGCTCAAGGAGCTCCCCTGTGAGGGCTGCCCTGGCCCAATGGCTGGGCCAGAGCTGTGGTGGCTGGCAGAGGCCACTCCAGTAGAATCACAAAGGTGAGGCAGGGATGATAACCCTGGGAGAGGATGGGGGCCTGGAACTCCCCAGTCAGCTTTGGCCATTGGGGCTGCAGCATGGGGATAGGGCTGATGCACCCAGGAGCTTTGACCAGTGCAGTGGTTCTCAAGGTTCTGGCCCTTTAAATACAGTTCCTCATGTTGTGACTCCCAACCATAAAATTATTTTCGTTGCTACTTCATAATTGTAATGTTGCTACTGTTATGAATTGTAATGTAAATATCTGATATGCAGGATGGTCTTAGGCAACCCCTGTAAAAGGGTCGTTCGACCCCCAAAGGGCTCGCGACCCACATGTTGAGAACCACTGGGTTAGAGGGAGTTGCAGCCCTGCTCTCATAAGGTAGGGGGTGGAGCATCAGTGTTGCCCCAGCCCCTGAGTCTCTGACTCAGGTGAGTCCAATAGGCTTCCACTCCTTCTCAGGAGAGGGATCTCCTTCACACATGGTCTAGGCACTTCTCAAACCTCTGCTTTTGCATGGGTCCTGGGAAAGTCCCATAAGACCATTAGGTCCTCTGCAGGAGCCCTTTAAGAGAAGAATCTCCTGTGCCCTACACCACCAAAGTGCTCCTGGGAATAATAAAAACTTGGTTGGTTTTTGAAGGCAGGACTCTGGTGCAGGTCTGTGGGGAGCCTGATGTGGGTTACAAACCCCTAAGTCCTCAAGGTTGGGCTGCACATTTGTGATATCCTTCCAGTGCACACATCATTCACGTTCCCATATTTATCTCCCTGCATGCTGTGGAGCCCTGATCACTGCTTAGGTAGTAGTGGGGTCAAACTCCATGTGTGAGGACTCAAGCTCCTCTGCACTTCCTCTTCTGTGTCCTGTGACAGCAGCTGCTTTGACCTTAGCTCCTTGTAGCCTCACCATAAAAATAAATTCTGCAGCCTCAAGGCAGAATGCATGCTTTTCCTCTCTCCTCTACAGGCTCCTGGTGGGTCTCAGGATGGGTTGGATCTTGGAGGAGATGCAAAATAATTGGAGGTTCCTACCCCAGGTTTGGATCATGCTGGAGACATAAAACAGTGGTAGATATTAAATGAGATCTACGCTGATACAATATCTTTATCTGATCTTGCTGTTCATCGGAGCCTGATCTGGACCACAGTCTCTGCAGCCAGTGCTAATTGCATGTGACCTCTGGGCTGTTATCAGTATCTGGACCACTAGCTGGAATACACTTGTGTTCTCCTTCAGTCTTATTCCTTATCAGGTTTCTTTCATGTATGATGAACATGACACTAATAGACAGTGTTAGTGGGTCTAAATTCATCTCCATGCAAACTTTATATTTTATTATTGCTGTATTTTACTAGTTGTGCTGTGGCTTAAGTCTTTGTTATTACTTTGATATTTCTTACAGATTATTGAGGACATGTCCATAATTTTCAAATTGGATAATTTCTATTAATCTACTTTTAATTTTAGTTAGTCTTTATGTTGTGATTCCAAATATTTTATAAGTCAAAACTGGATTTGTTTTCTGACTGATTGTAGTTTTAGTATTTGAATTAAAAACAAAAACTACTTCTGACAATTTGGTGATGATTATAAGTATATTTTCTTCTACATCTTTCACCCCAGAAATAATAGCTGCTATGAGGTCCTTGTTTACTAAATACAACATCTGGCTTATTTCAGAGTTGCTCTCCATTGATTGCCTTTTCTATTGAATACTAGAGGCCCGTTGCAGGAAGATTCCTGCAAGAATTGGGCTTCTTTGTGCCTATTCCTGCAAGAATAGGGCTTTCTGAGGGCAGAGTGAAGCAGAGAAGGGAGAGAAGCCCGCTGAGGCTTCGCTCCCTTCTCTGCTGCCTCACTCCCTCCCATCTCCACCACTTCACTCCCTCCCGTCTCCGCTGCCTCGCGCCCTCCTTTCTCCGCTGCCTCGGCTCCCTCTCTTGTCTGCCGCTTCACTCTCTCCCATCTCCGCTGCTTTGCTCCCTCCCATCTCTGCTGTCTCACTCGCTCCCGTCTCTGCTGCCTCGGCTCCGTTCCCTTCTCCACCGCTTCGCTCCCTTCTGCAACTCTTGACTTCCTTCTATGCTGTCTTCAGTCTTCGCTCTGCACCTGTGTATGCAAATTAACCACCATCTTTGTTGGGTTAATTTGCATATTACTCTGATTGGCTGGTGGGCATAGCGGAGGGACTGTCAATTTGCATGTTTCTCTATTATTAGTGTAGATGGGTCATGTCCTCTACTTTTTTGTATGTTGAATACGTTTAGATTGCATCTAAAACTCCCTCAGGGAAATTGTGAAAGAGGTGTAGAGACTCAGGATTCTGTTTCATTTTCTGAAGAATATTATTCTTTGTTTATTTGTTTTCAGTATGTTAACTTGATTGAACTCAGATTCTAAAATCTCCCCTGCATTTTTGCAGGAGCTAAAATGAGTGATCAGTCCCATTAACCCTAATTGGGCTGCTTGTCATCTATCTCCAACATGTGTAGTTCAGAGATTTGATCAGAGTTCTTATGTACAACTTGGGATTTCTCCTTCTGGATCTCTCTTTTGAAGATGTTCTTCTGACACTTTCTAGCTGCTGCAAAAACCTCAAATTGTTCTTGGTCTTACAGCCACAAGCCTGTATGTTGCTGTAGATTGAGGTTTAGCTTCAAAAAAGGATAATAAAAATAGGAAAAACCTTCAATACAGTTCCCTTCTTCCAAGTAAACTATAGATTGTGACTGCTTTTCTCACTCTCTGTGCTTTCATGTTATGTTCTCTCTCTGTCTCTCTCTCTCTCATAAAAAATAGATGTTAAAAGTTGTCAAAGGAGAATCATAATTATGTTAATAATGCCAGGAGAATAGCTGAATTTCATTATGTGGCACAGTAAGCATGTTTGCAGTAAGAACAGTATAATTGAAGCATAATTTATCATATAAAGTTCAATTCAGTTAAAATTACTCTTCAAAATCACTCTTCATATTCAACACCTTCTAATTGATCTGAGGCAATAAGCAACAAAATAGAAAAAGTACCTACCTGATTTCATGAAACTTACAGTTGTGGATGCAAGCTGGGGTGTGCGTAAGAGTACTAATGAAAGTATAACTCTAGGCTCCCACTGCAGTCTCCGTATTGTCTTGCACTTATGCATTTTCATTTCTAATCTGGATATACAAAATGAGTTCTGACTTTTAGGTGGAATCCTTGTTCCAGAGATAACTTCCTGAAAAATCTTAGCAAAGAAAGCCCTAGAGAAGGAGCCTATGGAGTGTCCATGGGCCACAAGCCCAGGCTTTCAGACCAGTTTTCAGAGATGTGTAGAGAAAAGAGTTAAGCCCAGCACTGCTCAGGGATGAGAGACATACTTTGGGGAAGTAAATAAAAAGTCACATTGTCTTTGAAGCTTCATCTTCTAAGTCCTGTAAGTGTGATGATGTAAGATGTCGGCAGCTGTTTACATAAATCCTAGCACACTGTCCTCTCAGGGTCTGTAAGCCTTAATGATGAGACAGCTGCCCTGCTCTGTAGCTTCTTTTGTATTCACTAGTCCCACAAGATTTCCAAGTTTACACTCACAGCTCTACCATAATTCCTGAAAAATCACTAACCTTACTCATCTTATTCTTGGGCCATCTCTGTCACCCAGAAACAAAGCTGAGATATCAGGAGCAGGAGGAGCATATGAGAAGAATTTCCATAAGGGACATGTTTACAACATTTCATACAGCATAATGAGAGGCTTGATTGGTGTTAATAATCTGAAAAAATACCAGAAGTGTCATGACAACAAGATCTTAAGACCAATGAAAAAAGTGAGTTAAACTATGGGCGTCTCTTCATTCATTTATTTAACTATCTCTCCTGTTAAAGACAGCTGCACCCAGCCTGATTCAGTCAAATCTCTCTCTCTCTCTCTCTCTCTCTCTCTCTCTCTTTCTCTCTCTCTCTCTCTCTCTCTCTCTCTCTCTCTCTCTCTCTCTCTCTCTCTCTTTCTCTCTCTCCTTCTCTTTTTCTCCCCCCTCCCCACCCTCTCCTTATCTGACTTGCTCGTACTGAATTAAGGATGACTTTGTGCCTTTTCACCTCTAAAACATTCGCCTTGTACTCTTAACTACCCTCAGCCATTTTTAGGCACACATGTTTTGAAACTGCACTATCCATCAGAGTCATCACCATTATCATGATCACATTTCACCTGTGCCACTTAACACATGATTTTAGAATTGTTTCATACTCTATTAGTCAGGGTTCTCCTGAGAAACAGAACCAATATTAAAGATATATCCTTCATATATGTGAAAGTGACTGATTACTAATAATTGGCTCATGTGATTATAGTTTGACTAGTTCACTGTTCTGCCTTTTACAAACTGGAGACCCAGGAAAGCTGGTGGTGCAGTTTAGTCCAAGTTCAACAACTTGAGAACCAGGGTAGTCAATGGAATAAGTCCTAGTCCAAGGGCAGGAGAAAACCTATACCCCACACAAGCAGGTAGGCAGGAAGCAAAAGGAACACCTTCTCTCTTTCTTCCTCTGCCTCTTTGTTTTGCTTAGACCTTTAATCTAATTTATTGTGACCAAAGATCCAAAGGCTAATCTCATCTAGGAACAACAACCTCACAGACACACCCAGAAACAAAGTTTAATCTGGGCAACTAGTGGACAGTAACACTGACTCATAAAATTATTCCTCACAATTACTTTCCTGTTTCATTTCTATTACGTTAAGACTATAAAGATTATATGCTAAATGATATTAGAAAACATTGCCCAAAAATGACACTTCATGTAGTTTGATCTGAGTAGTTCATTTAGGAAAAGTGTCTTCTTGTCCTTATTGAATCAAGGTTCTGAAAGCCAGCATCACGGTGCTACCACTCTGTGATAGCCCCCTGGCTGACCACCTGAGGTAACTTCAGATTTGGGCAGCTGTTCCCTCTCACAGGACGGCCAGGACACAAGTTGGCCAGGGTCACTTAGCTTAGCTGGTAGCGACAGGACAGGGGAGAGCTGCCAGGATCACTGACTCAGGTGGGCCTTTAGGGAGGGTCCTCCCTGTGTTGAAGGAGGTATTTCATTCCCTCCTCATGACACCTCATTCCTAAGGGAACAAGATGAGGGTGATGTGTGTGACAGTCACAGCTCATGTCAGCCTAGTTCTCCAGAGGATGAATTACTTTGAGAGCCATGAGAATAGCTTCAGGGAGCAGAACTGAGATAGGATTAAGAATGTAGTCATTGGCCCCTCTGAGCTAAGGCACAAAGTGTTACTATTTCCCTGAGGTCTTTGTGAAGGCCTCTCATTGGTCCATAGATTTTCTTCTTTCATGCCCCTCCCCTAAGAATTTAACTTTAATTTTCACTCTGCTCCTCCTGCAGCTGGTTTGGAGAGTGAATTATCACCACTTCTGTCCTCAGGCTGAGACTCCAGAACAACTGAAAAGACCTTTTTCCCTGGGAGATTGGAGGTGAGTTTTGCTCTGCTCTCTGAGCCTTGCCTGGGGTGAGTAGGGGAGTGGGCCGGGGTGGGGTGGGGAATGGGAGATGGGGGGTGCTAGTCTGCCAACAACCTTGTCTTTCATTATTTCAGTCCTCTGGGCAGGAAAATGCAACCTCTCCCACACCCAGCCTGGGACTCAAGGGGCTCCTCTGTGAGGGCTGCTCTGGCCCAATAACTGGGGCAGGGGCCTTGGTAGCTGGCAGAGGCCAATCCAGTAGAGTCAGAGAGGTGGAGCAGGGGTGATGCCCCTGGTAGGGGGTTGACGCCTAGCACTCCACAGTCAGCTCTGTGGGTGGGCGGGGCTTCAGCAGAGGAATGGGGCGGGCCAGCACACCCAGGAGCACTGACTGTTTAGTAGAGAGAGATGCAGCCCTGCTGTCATGAGGTAGTGGGTGGAGCACCAAGGTAGCCTCCATTCCCCAGGTCTGAGCCTCAAGGGAGAGTCCAAAGTCTTCCACTCCTCCTGCAGGAGAAGGATTTCCTTTTCACATGGTCTGGGCACTTCTCAAACCTCTGCTTTTGCGCGGGTCATGGAGCAAGTCCTATAAAACCTTTAAGCCCTGTGCACCTGCCCTTCAAAGAGGAATCTCCTGTACCCTACACTGCTGGGGTACTCTGGGCACAAGCCTTATTCCTTTTGAAGGGAGACACTCTAGGTTCAGGTTTCTGGTGCAAGTCCACAGGAAGCCTGATGTGGGTCACAAACCCCTAAGTCCTCAAGGATGGCTTCACATGTGTGATATCCTTCCAGCGCAGACACCACTCATGTTCCCATATCTATCTGCCTGCCTGCTGGGGAGCCCTAGTCACTGCTTAGGTAGTGGCGGGGTCAAACTCCATGTGTGAGGACTCAAGCTCCTCTGCACTTTATTCTTCTGTGTCCTGTGACAGCAGCTGCTTTGACCTTAGCTCCTTGTAGCCCCACCATAAAAATAAATTCTGCAGCCCCAAGGCAGAATGCATGCTGTGCTCCTCCCTCCTCTCCAGGCTCCTGGTGGGTCTCAGGATGGGTTGGCTCATGGATGAGATGCAAAATAATTGGAGGTTCCTACCCCAAATTTGGATCATAAATGCTGGAGTCATAAACCAGGAATAGATATTAAATGATAGCTACCCTGAAACAATGTCTATCCCTGATCCTGCAGCCAGGGGCTAACTGCATGTAGCCTCTGGGCTGTTTTCAGTATCTGAACCACCAGCTGGAATACACGTCTGTTCTCCTTCAGCCTCATTCCTCTTCAGGTTCCCTTCATGTATGATGACCATGGCACCGGTAGTCAGTGTTCGTGGGTCTAAATTCCTCTCCATGCAGCCTTTATAATTTTCCCTTCGGAGAATAGAGCAAAGGGAAAATTTATTAACTGATACTTCAGATCTTTCTTTTACCATCCAACTTTGGCAACCATCAAGACATGAACACTTACTGAGATCTTCTCTTTCATTTTTGCTTCCTAGTCCCATTTACTTGAAGTTCCCGAAAGAGTTCCTGATCCTAGACCAGGGGTGGGCAACCATTTTGTGAGTGCGTGCCCAAACCAGAAAAATCTCTGACTCAAAATTCTTCTGCGTGCCAACCCTAATTTTTTGAGAACATGGTACGCCTACTTGATATCTCTTAAGGTGTATGTATATGAAGAACCTTGAAGAAATAATAAAATTCATTCGAGCGACAAAAACACAGTATATGATGATAAAAAACACATTTATTTTTTAATGTATACATGTACACTGATAGTCCAACAGAAAAATTTATGACTCCGTTTGATATTATCAGTGGGACTTTTGCTGCTGCATCACTGATGACAGAGATTTTACATCGGGTTTATATTTCGTGACCTTAAGAGGTATGCACGAGCTACTACTTTCATCCGTCAGGCTACTCCTATGACGAGACTTAACAAAATTCACCACTGAGAACAAAGGTTCACAATTTTAAATGGAAGATTATAAGAGAGGGTTTCGCATGCCAGCAAAACTTACTGGTGTGCCATGTTTGGCACGCGTGCCAGGGGTTGCCCACCCATGTCCTAGACTGTATCCACAGGGCCATACCAAATCCATGTGGGAGAATGAGCATCCATATGTTTCCACTCTGTGATACCCTCTGGTAACTTAAGAAACATTCAAACCTGTGAGGAAGTTTTATGTGTTTATTTAAGCCAAACTGTCTACAATGGCTGGAAGCAGATTCTCAATGGATTGACATAATGCTCCAGAGAATGGTAGTTTTGCACCTTGGATTATACCTTAGAATCAAAAGAGAAGCTATAAGTGTGTTACATGAAATCCATTGGTGATAGATTAGGGAGGCTGAGGCAGAAGAAAGCAAAGAGGGGAGGGTACGGAACCTCTGGGATTGGAAAAAAGTAAAATGATAGACAATCTTCTTTTACTTAGGTGGGTGTAGGATAGCTAATAGTCAACAATTATCTCAATAACAATGAGGGTATTTATGGTCTCCATACAGTGGTGCATGTGCTTTGAGGGGTCCAGGAAAAAGGAAAATTACCTTGACATTCCAATTATATGTTATGGTAGATGCAAAAGGACACTAGACAGGCTCAGTTAAAGTAAAGATTGACTTTGTCAGGCAAAAAGGCCAGCCTAGGATATGACTAGCCAACAAAACTGCTCTTTCAGTTTAAAAACTTTTAATTTCAGACCATCCTCTGTGGTTACTTTAGGTCTCTGAATTTGCAAAGCTACCCACAGGCCTTTCCTGAATTACATAGTTTAGCATGTGGTCCTTTTTGTCCACACCTCTTTGACTGACCACCAGCATCCTTTCCAATTTGGATGGTCATTACCATCTTGTGACCTGTGAGATACAAGCTGTCAGGGTCACTTAGCTGAGCTGGAGATAAAGGGCAGGAGGCAGGGCATGCTGACATTGGCTGCCTTAGGGAAGCTATTAGTGGTGGTCTTCACAGTGCTATGGAAGGTACTTTATTTCTGTTATCTCAGCCTTTTAAGAAACCAGACTTAGTAGATGTGTGTGAAACCACGAAAGTTTATGTAAGCCTAGAGCTACAGAGTGCAAATTACCTTGTGAAAGCCCATAGGCATAGCATCCATGGGCCATAAAGATACAAGGATGGTTATAAAAGTCACAATCCCCTTATGAAAAATGAAATTTAAGCATATTAACTGCCATTTGAAGTCTATATGAAATCCTCCTAAATCCAAATGCACTTTCTACACCAGGCTAATTTTGCTATCAACAATCTGGCCTTGTAAGGAAGCTGATCTTCCACTTTATTATAGCCTCATGAGTTTTCTAGACAAAAATAACAAAAGAACAAATTAGAAAACTTATCCAATATTACCATTCAAGGAAGAAAGAATCCAGGCCTGATGTTAACCTTTTGTTCTCCATAATCTAACATAATTTCCAATCCTTTCTTCTTACCACAGCCTATGTCTTACTCATCACCTGCTTTCCATGTCCTTCATCTTCTTGTCCTGAAAGCTATCATCATCTCTCCCCTGGGCAACTGTATGTGCATCCTACTAATCTTCCCAATTCCCCACTGGATCCATCGATTACTCCACAGCCCTACACTGGTGATTATTTTTTCTCTTGGCGAAGTGTTCCTAAATGTTCCATAATTCACTAAGTGCCATAGGTCACTGCAGGCTCATGTGATGCAAAAGGCCTAGCAGTTTTCTCACAAGAGCCACCCTGGCATTTTACATCTCAGACAATGTGGTGCATCTTCAATGAATGGGTCATTTCCTTTACCTAACAAATTTTTTTCTCTCTCCCATATGCCTTATTTCCTTCATTTTCCTCAGGTTTCAGTTCAACCCTTAGGTATTTAAGTTTGAATTGCTGGATAACCCTTTATATGTCCCAATAATTTGATTTCCCAACAACATGCTCATCTCACTAGTAGTGTTTTACACATCAGTATATATATATATATATATCCTATCTAATAAAAGAGAAACATGCAAATTGACCATAACCCCAACACCCTTCCCATTGGCTAATCAGCAGGATATATACAAATTAACTGCCAACCAAGATGGCGGCAAGCAGCCAGGCAGCTGAAGTGAATAGGAGGCTTGCTTGCTCCAGTGACGGAGGAAGCCAAGGTTCCCCACCTACCACTGCCAGCCTTTGAGCTGCAACTCTAAGAAATAATGCTGCAAATGTAGAAGGTAAACATTCACCAGAAACCTGCTTTCAGCCAGCCAGGCTTCAGCCAGCAGGATCGCAACAGTTTTTCAATTATAGAACCTAAACAAACCCAGATCCCTGCTTTCAGCACCTGAGGTCTCAGAGCTGGAGCCAAGCCTCGGAGCTAAATCCAGCTCTCAGCTCCAGTGACAGCCATAGAAGGTAAATAAATCCCAGAATTAAAAAAAAAGAAAAAAAGGAGGGCTTGGGAGCCTCAGTTGACTGCCAGCCTAAAAACAGCCATCATCCCCTCACCCAGACTGGCCAGGCACCCCAGTGGGGACCCCCACCCTGAAGCAACAAGATGGTGGATAATTTGCATACTGAAGGCAGGTAGCAGCGGGCAAGGCTTATTTAATTACTATTACTTTCCAGGTGGATGTCAGGGTCAGAGTGGTTTAAACTCTCTGTTTAGACTCATTTTTGTGTTTGTAGGTATTAGTTTAGTTGTTAGCATATAATTCATAGTGATGAAAAATTAGTTGAATGATCTTGCCTAATATTTTGAGATTTCTTTTGCAAGACTGATATTTACTTCATCTGTGTTTCTATTTTTTCAGATATGTGACTTGTGTGATCCTATGAACATCTTTATGCTATCTCCCTCCCCATCATCAATATACATACACACCATTAGGCTCCTGTCAATATCCTTGGCATATTTCCAGGCAAACATGAAATATTCCTATTTATCCAACAAGACTCCCCAGAACCTCCTAAGTTACCTATTTTGTCTTTAATTAACCCTGTAAGGTAGGAAGGGGGACTCTGAATATATTAGGATCATTGCAACTCTGTATTGAAAATAAATGGTCTCTGTAAGTCATTCACTAACTTTATGTGCACATCTGATAAAGGGTTTGCTCATGCCATTTACACAAACACATTGTCACATATTATCTATACTAATAAAAGGGTAATATGCTAATTAGAATGGATAGACCAGACATCTTCTGCACATCCTTCCAGATGTCCTTCCAGACACAGCCACGGTGCTGGAGGGCCAAGGCAGAGGTGGTTAGGGGCGATCAGGCTGCCAGGGGAGAGCTATTGTGGGCAATCAGGCCAGCAGGGGAGAGCACTTAAGGGTGATTAGGCTGGCGAGAGAGAGCAGTTAGGGGAGATCAGGCCAGCAGGGAAGAGCACTTAGAGGCAATTAGGCAGGTAGTGGAGCAGTTAGGGGCATCAGGCAGGCAGGCAGAGTGGTTAGGGGTGATCAGGCAGGCAGGCAGATGAGCGGATAGGAGCCAGCGGTCCTGGATTGCAAGAGGGATGTCTGACTGCCAGTTTAGGCATGATACCCAGAGCAGGTCTTTCTGATAAAGGAACATGGAAAGAGATTGTTAACGGAAGGATGAAAGTGAGTCCTACTGATACCAGGGTAGCAATGCCTGATGAAAGAACAGGTATAAAAGCCCAGACCCAAAAGTGGTTTAGAGATGAGTTTGTCATAGGAAAGATTAAGCTGGAGAGATACTGGGTCACACAAACATCTTTTCTTTGTAAAAAAGGCCTCAGGTCATCCTTCGGTTTAATAAAAGTAAATGACAATAACAACCATTGCACAGATGAAAATGTTAAATAAAAGTATTTAAAATTTTTATGTGCCTGGCTGGCATTTCTTCATAGTTAGAGTGTTGGCTTGTGCATGGAAGGGTCAAGGACACTTACCAGGGTTCAAGTTTAATCACCACCCAGATTTGTGTACCAGTGGCAGACAACCAATTTATCTGTCTATCTCACATTCAGGTCTCTCTCCTTCTCTCTCTCTCTCTCTCTCTCTCTCTCTCTCTCTCTCTCTCTCTCTGTATGTGTGTTTCTTTCTCTTCCCCTCCCTACCTTCCACTCTGTCTAAAAATCAATGGCAAAAAAAATCCTCAAGTGAGGATTAACAAAAAAATTAAAATAAATAATATTATTACAAATAGTATTTTTTTCTAGGTCACCATGCTCCTTGCCTTGTCTCTCTACCTTTTCTTTTCTGTCCTTTCACATCCATTCTTGCTCCATCCTTCATTTCTACACAATTAGCAACATTTATTCCTAACATTCTTACTCTGCCCCCTTTAATCTTTCCAATCAGGCAGAGATCAGTGAGCTGCAGAAACCTCAGATCAGGACACGTAGGAGCAGGGGAACAGCTTCGATGGCTTCAGGAATCCTGATGAACGTAAAGGAGGAGGTAACCTGCCCCATCTGCCTGGAGCTCCTCACAGAACCCATGAGCCTGGACTGTGGGCACACATTTTGCCAAGCCTGCATCACTGCACACAACAGAGGGTCCATGATCGGCCAAGAGAGCAGCTGCCCTGTGTGCAGGATCACTTACCAGCCTGAGAACCTGCGCCCCAATCGACATGTGGCCAACATTGTGGAGGCGCTTAGGGAGGTCAAGTTGAGTCCACAGGAGGAGCAAGAAAGAGATCTCTGTGTGGACCATGGGGAAAAACTCCTGCTCTTCTGCCAGGAAGATAAGAAGATCATTTGCTGGCTTTGCGAGAGGTCTTCAGAGCACCGTGGTCACCAAATATTCCTTGTGGAGGAAATTGC